CTAAAATCACATTGGCCTTTTTAGCTGCTGCATCACATTGTTCTACAATCTATTAAGGAGTTCTAATTTTCATAGCAATGTTTAAGGCTGTTTTTGAAGACAAAGCACTGGTTCTCCCTCTCCTACCACAATCATCAAGCTACTTGTATCACAAGAATCACAGCACAGTCCCACTGAGCCCAATGAGATTAAGAATGCAATCTCCATCCTCTCTGTGCGTGTATGTGACTTCAACTCGCCTGTCAATATAGGGTTTTCTTAGGCAAAGAATACTCAGAGGTGATTTTGTCAGTTACTGCCTTTGAAACATAGCCTACAGCATCTGGTATTCACTGGCAACCTCACATGCAAGTACTTAACAGGACTGACTCTAATTAGCTTCCAGCATCAAACCAGATTTGATGTCTTAGGTATTTATTTATTTATTGTATTTATACCCCGCTCTGGAGAAATGCTCTCAGAGCAGCATACAAATTGGCAATTAGATAGTTCCCCCTCCCCACCCTCTACTTCCTTAAAAAAAAAAAACAGCCTGGAAAATGTAAGGAGGTAATGAGGTACATTTCAAAGGAAATTATGGAGGTACATACTCAATGTTTTGAAAGAACAAATCCAGCACCAAGCTACCTGTTTTAATGATACACATTCTATATCAACAAATGAATTGGCAAGATCTCTAAGAACCAGTAGGGACTGATTCAATTTTGTTGTTGTTAACTGCCTTTGAGTCTTGACTCATGATGACCCTATGAATGAGACATCTCCAAGACCCCCTGTCCTCCACTGTTCTGCTTAAATCCTGCAACTCCTTAATACCCATGACCTCCTTAATAGAGTCCATCCATCTGGCATGTGGCCTTCCTCTCTTCCTCCCTCCCTCTACCTTTCCCAGCATTATTGTCTTTTCCAAAGAGTCCCTTCTTCTCATGATATGTCTGAAGTACGACAGTCTCCGTTTGGTCATCTTAGCTTCCAGGGAGGCTTCCGGTTTGATCTGCTCTAGGACCTATTTGTTTGTCCTTTTGGCTGTCCATGGGATCCTCAGCACTCTTCTCCAGAACCACATCTCAAAGGAGTTGATTTTCTTCCTATCATCTTTCTTAACTGTCCTGCTCTCACATCCATACATGGTAATAGGCAATACAATGACTTGTATGATTCTAACTTTTGTTCTGAGTTGTATATCTTTTCATTTTAGAATCTTTTCTAGCTCTTTCATAGCCATTCTCCCCATTCTTAGTCTTCTTCTGATTTCTTGACTGCAGTCCCCATTTCTATCAATGTTTCATCACAGGCATGGGAATTCTTTTACTATTTCTATTTCTTCATTGTCTAGGTTGAACTTGTGAAGGTCCTCGGTGGTCAATATTTTTGTTTTCTTTATCTTCAACATTAAGCCTGCCTTTGCACTTTCTTCTTTGATCTTCCTTAGTAGGTGTTCTAGGTCTGTGAGGTTTTCTGCTAGTACTGTGATGTCTAATTAATAATAATGTCCAATAATTTATGATTCAATACAGCTACCAAAATGAGATTCCAGATTGTAGTGGACTGAGGATTGCAGTAGATCAGAACAAGCACATCTCAGTTAACAAAGCCTCTGTCAACAGAGCTTTTTACAAAGACTTTGTACATCTTCCCAGTCCACCTTTTTCCTCTTCCTCCTGCTCTATGTGTTTATGTCCCTTCAAGGTGCCTGTCCCATCCAAGTACTAAAATCAGGACTGTCTCTGCTTAGTTTCCAAAAGCAGATGGATCTGTTACCTCATTTAGGACCCTTCCTCTTCTGTTTACCTGGAAATTTTCTTGTCAGTCGTAATCAGTTTTGGGAGAGGGTGAAAGAGAGTGAAAAGAAAAACAGACTTTCAGGCTGCATCTACACTGCAGAATTAATGCAGTTTGACACTTTTTTTTATTGTCATGGCTCAGTGCTATGAAATTATGGGATCTGTAGTTTTATATGACATTTGGCCTTCTCTATCAGAGAGTTCTGGTGCCACAACAAACTGAAAATCCCAGGATTCCATAGGATGGACTCGTGACAGTTAAAGTGGTGTCAAACAGCATTAAGTCCTCAGTATGGCAGCATGTCATATGTATGTCTGCAGCGTGAAAAGCTTGAGCAGGAAACACCAGGACTCTACTCTAGCAATGTGTACCTGCCTACAGTAATGCCCTAAACTACATCTGTCTGGTTAACAGAGGTACACTTGTATTTTCTTTAGCCTCCAGATGTACAGCTCCTTGTCTGTGTGCTCAGGATGGATTGTCCATCCCCACCTTTCTTAATTGATTTTCTATAGTAAGAAATAAAGAAGGAACAAATAGTAGGAAAACACAGGAAGATTACACATGGAAGGCAACACTTGGGCCTTTTGTGAATGAGACAGTGATCTCTCTTTCTCTCTCTCTCTCTCTCACACACACACGCACACACACAGCCTTATCTTTAGCCTCCAGATGGACAGCTCCTTGTCCTTGTGTTCCAATTGGTTCACAGGCCCACACATTGTGCTGGTCACAGCCTCTATGGGGTTTTTAGTATGGAACAGGAATATCCATGGGCGGAGGTTACAAAAGCCTCCGCATTGTCATGGACGGATCATTTCCTGGTCAAGATAGAGCTAAAGGCCACTATCGGCCCCCTCGGGGGTGGCGGATCCATGAGAATGGTCAGCCCTCGAAGGCCTTAGAGGGTTTAATGGTTGGAA